GAGAAGGATGAGAAAGGACGAGAAGAGGAGGAGGGGGGGGAGTCATTAGGCCGTCTCTACCTCGACTCGGAGGATTGCGGGCGGCAACGGCGGGCTTCGAGTGGGTGGGAGAGTCTTAGCTACAAGCCTCTTGTGTTGGGGCGCTCGACCGGCCGGGAGCTGCGGAGACTGCAAGGAAAGGGGCGTGAGGACGCACCTGTACAGTACACGGACTCCAGGCCCTCTGTAGGCGCCGTAGTTGCTCGGCGCCAGGAAAGTTCCCTTGCTGCAGCCCCCGACTGAATGGGCTTGCAGGCTTGTGTCAAGTACGCCGATGTGTATAAGTCCCCCGTTCCTTTTTGATTCGGGTGTTACAGGCGAAAAGGCTTTGCCTGGTGGGCTAGGAATACTAATTCAACTCGTTGCATTAGAAGGGGGTGGGGGCGGACGGGAGGGAGGGAGGGAGACCTGCACATATTTGAAATGTATGGCCTGTTCTGTCTGTCCGTCTCTCGTCGCTTTTTTGGTTCCTTCCCTATCCCCCCCCCCTTGATTTTTCTGGGATGCCTCAATGAGGGACGGTTGGAGCCAGAAAATGGGCCTAAGCTATGTAGCTCTTCAGCTTCTCTGCCTGGATGGGTTACTTACCTAGAGGAGGAACAGGTGGGCTTTCCTTAACCTTTTTTTCTACTTCTGGGTTGCTTTCTGGCTGTTCTGCGTATGCCTCCTACAAAGAGGAGGGGGGGGGAATGAGTGAAGGAAAGGATTGTGTGATGGGGAGCTTTCCCCTATGCAATTTTGCAAGCCGCCAGGCAGGAGGACCTGAGGGGTGGGAGAGAAAGAATGTTGACCTGTAACCTGCACTCCTGTGCGTTGGGGAACTTGCTGGCAGGCCTGGTGTGTACTCTGCCACAAAGAAGTTTAGGGTGTTTCGTATGTGTCCTGACTTTTCTCCCAGAGCTCAAAAGGGTGAACCTACGTGTCTCGAGAATGGACCCCCCCCCCCAAGCTACCCATCCAATACTGTACAGGTAGTCCTCAACTTACGACCACAATTGAGCCCAAAATTTTATGTTACTACATGAGAAATTAAATGAATTTTGCCCCATTTTACGACTTTTCTTGCCACATTTGTTAAGTGAATCATTGCAGTTGTTAAATTAGTAACACCGTTATTAAGTGAATCTGGTTTCCCCATTGACTTTGCTTGTCCAAAGGTTGCAAAAGGGGATTGCATATCCTGAGACATTGCAACTGTCATAAATATGAGTCAGTGGTCAAGCATCCGAATGTAAATCGCATGACCATGGGGATGCTGCAATGGTCAGTAGTGTGAAAAATGGTCATAAGTCACTTTTTTCAGTGCTGTTATCTTGTACACACACACACCTAGGCCCAGACCAGCTATTGTTGCAGTTCAATCACTGTTGGTATTCTTATTGTATCATTTGATTTTTTTTTCTGCATTTGGGGGAGTGACATTTCTTGCTGGGAAAACTGAATTCTGAGATGTTGCTATTTTAGTGTTATTTAGTTGTGGCCATTTTCCCTCTCTCAAAGCTTGCATCTGCCACTTTAGTCTGCACAGCACCCCCTGGCCTATATCTGTAGCCTGCCACGAAGCTGTACTTGTCTCTTCCTCGGCTGCTGTGTCCCACAGTGGAGGTGGTTTGGCCAGAGTCCTGATGGACTAGGATGGGGTTATTCTGCCCGGACTCAAAGGGAACAGGAAGAGGGGCTGTATTCTGACGTGTTCCCCAAGTGCCTGTGATAGAAGGGTGCTGTCATAACATTGTTCCCATCTCCCAGAATAGATGGAGACAACGGTTCTGTTGAACGGTATTGGAATCGTTCTCTGAAGAGGCCGAAGCTAAAACCAGCCCTGGTTTTGGCTGACAGTCAAGACAAATAGTTTGAAAGGAGAAAACTATTCCAGTTTGGTTTCATGCTGAATCGCAAGTTTGGCTGCTGAAAGGGGCGATGCTGGGAAATGCTTTTCCCTCCACATAAATGCAGAACTTCAAAATCCATTGGGTCACATACTAGGATAAACTCCCTGGAACCTAGAGAAGAACGTGGACACTAAACAGGGAGACTTGAGTTATTGGTTTAAGGAGCTAATTCAGGCCTTCTCAAGCACTGCCTTATCCCCCTGCAAAAGGACAAATCAAGGTGTGTGAGCATTCCTTGTGAATAAAACTAACAAAGCAGCTGTGATTTGGGACAGTTTGGATCGATAGCCAGCTCTCAAAATACGATCGGGTTTTATTCTTGCTTTAGTTTTTTGAGACGAAGCATGAGTGAGTGTTTCAGTCCTGTTTGCAAAAGTTGCTTGTGTCTCCCTGGGGCCTCCCAATCCATAGCTTGAGAACTCCCAAAGTTAAGCAGTTGGATTTTGGTAATGCTCTAAGTATAAGGATAATTTTACCTCTGGTTGCTGCTCTTTGTTACAAAGATCAGATGAGCTAGCAAATGAAGGAGATGGGATAGGGAAGAGTTTTTGTATCTTCTAGATTATATAGACTGTTTTTATATCACAATTTTCTCAGCCGGGAAATATTTCAGTTTTATGGACTTCAACAACTTCCAGAATTCCCAGATAACAGCCCTTGTTGAAAACTTGGGGAGCTAACACCCACATATCTGAAGGATGCCTGGGTTGAAGAAGGCTTTAATGGGTTTAGTTATCTCTTCTAGCACAATATGTTGGGGGGAAAGGACTTGCCTTTTTTGATCAGGAGATTTATTCCAGGTATTAGTAAATTTATTTCTCTGCATTCTCACCCTCCCCTTTTTCAGTGAGAATAAATGATAGTTTCAGGATCCAATCTGGGTCCGTCACCAGGATACATATATTCGTCTTCATTTGTGATGATCAGTTTCTGTGAGAGAAAGTGAAAGCATACAGGTTGGAGAGCCCTTTTTGTAATCCTTCTTGTCTGTAATGGCTTTAGAAGAAAGATAGCCCTAAATTTAAGATGGCATCACCCTAGATATTAAAACTCTATTGTCTGCACTAACATGTGGTCCTCAACGTACGACCACAATGAAGCCCAAAGTTTCCATTGCTAAGCAGGACAGTTGTTAAGTGAGGTATGCCCCATTTTACGATGGGTTTTTTTTGCCACAGCTGTTAAGCAAATCACTACAGTTTTTGTGTGGTTGTTGAGCAAAACTGCTTTCCCCCATTGACTTTGCTTGTTGAAAGCCACTTGAGAAGGTTACAAATGGTGATTACATGACCCCGGGATAGTGCAACTGTCATAAATTCATGCCAGTTATCAAGTATCTGAATTTTGATCACATGGCCATGGGGATGCTGCAGTGGTCATAAGTGTGAAAAATAGTCATGAGTAATTTTTTCCAGTGCTACTCTTTCAAACGGTCACTAAATGAATGGTTATAAGTCAAGGACTACCTGTATATATTCTCAGTGAAACTGAGATAACCCTTCTGTTTCAAAGGTAGATAGGTGAAGTGAAGCACTAGTCTTTTCAGGTTAAACAATAGTTGCCTTTCTCTGTATGTCTTCATGGCCCTTTCTTGGTCTAATAGAACCTTTGTCTCCTAAGTTTTTGGACCTGAGGAACTGAGAACTTGTCCTCCTGTCAGTCAATCCTACTTGATTTTGCCATTCTCTAAGTGCTTCTCTCAGTGCTACTTGGATTATGATTGTGATCATACGTTGGACGGCCAAAGCATTCTTCAAAGCTGTTGATGAAATCAAACTAAATATACCTCTTTCTGCAGGGCCTTCCCCTGAGGCATTTAATGATGGCCTTTTCTCCATAGGATGAAGGATGTTCCAAGCCCCTCTTATTTCACCCTTAAGACCGAAGTCAGTTTTGTTGTGGCTGGGTTCAGTCAGAGCAGTTACCAGATCAACTAAATAATTGCTAAATGTTTAAATGGTTAATTTTAAGCTTGGTTGTATGTATATAGTGTACAGCTTGTTGTGCAGACCCAGCTCAGTTAATTAACTGATGGTTCAGTGTGTTGTGCAACCCCCCCCCAAATGGATTTAATAACCGAATTGTATGAATCTAGTTAGCCCCATAATTCCATTCTTCATTTCTATCTGGCCTGTCCTAAAGCCCAGGGTCTTTCAAGGACTACAAGGTCATGCATGCTACCCCTACTTTAAGTTTCCACCTAAAGAACTCCATATGCTAAAGGACCAGATAGGGAGTGGAAAAGGAGATTAGGTAGGACTTCTGCCCCACATCCTACTTTCTGTCCTCTCCAGACCTTGCAAAGGAGGTTTAGGGGTCAAGGCACTATGCAGTGTTTGATTACTCTGTTAAAGTTGAATGCAGGGGCACGGCTTAAATTGGATTGGAATGTTGAGATCTGTCTTTTGGGATGAAGATAACATTAGCATCGTGATAACTGTTTTGTTACTAGAGCAACCTCTGGATGTGCAGCTGATTGTTGGCTGGCTGTATTAGATTCTACCCAGGATAGTGGAGGGTTATAAACTGAAGGTAGTCACTGCTGGTGGTCTTGTTTAAAGTAAGTCTGGGGAAAAAAAGTTAGGACCTCCAGTATCGTAGCAGTTCACTGAATTCATAGTTTATCTGAGAATCGTTTTCTTAACGGTGTACTTGTTGCAACGAGGGTAATCTGCATTATTTTACTTTGTGTGCGGTGTATCTCCTGCAGTGTGAGTGTGGGTATGTGGGAAGGGTAGGGAAGGACAGGATACATAAGTGGACAATTCTATGTAGAAATGTCTGCTTGGAATACGAAGGAAGCAAGCTATCTGTTCAAAATGGCCTGAAATGGGAAGGAAATATGCAAAGAGAGTTGTGGATGAGTAAGGAGTTGGGTGGGGGGGAACTTGCTTTGAGTTCCAGAGAATGAGTACAGCTGGTACTTCAGCCACGGAATGGAAACTAATGTGTGTGACCAGCTGACAGTCTGTCTTCTTCCTGCAGGTTGCAGCCTCAGCTTGATGAAGAGGAAATAAGAAACCTGACACTGAGGGTGCTCCCTTACGGAGACCCATGTCGCCTCATTGTGCCCTATTCCTAGGGGCCTTCCAGGTACTGGGGCTTCCCCAAGGCCGAACCAATGATCTGTCCTGCTGACAGGGATATCCTTTGTTGTTTGAGAATCCTTTGCAGAGTCATATTCTGGGACAGAAGCATTTTCTCCCCCCCACAGGTGTTAAAACTGTCCTCTGTAGAATGTCTTGATGCTTTTTGCCCAGAATCTGACATTTGGCAGGGTCTTGTCTCTCCCTGCCATCCTGGGTCAGGTTTCCCCTGGCTATGTCTCCTGCCCTCCTGTCTTTTCTCCCTGTTTTCTTGTGCTAGGAGTCAAAATGACTTCAGCCAAAAACATTCCACAGAGAAAGAAAACAGCAGGTAGCTCCCGGGGCTACATGCGTGCAAAATGCCTGGACTCCTCAGGGGAATGGGAATAGGAAGGGATCTCCTTCCCACCCAGTTACACTTCACCAGGGGTGATTTCTGCGGTGGAAGCTGTTCTGCCTGTTGAATTGTTTGGGGGAATAGCGTGCACCTGGTTCTCTTGGAGTAAAGAGATCTTTCCGAAGCTGCTTCTAATCTTTTGCCCTTTTCCCACAGTATGTCCTGGTTTAGTGGCATCCTGGTGCCCAAGGTGGATGAGCGGAAGACCGCTTGGGGGGAGCGCAATGGGCCCAAGCGCCATCGCCCAGCACTTTGTGGCCCACGCTACATGAGCTGCCTACAGGACCAAGAGCTGGAGCGCAGAGGCAGTGGTGCGCTGGGGTTGAACTGTTCTTGGCAGGAAGACCACTATGGCAGGAAGCAACCACCGTCACTTCTGCCTGGTTCTGGAACTGGAGATTTGGGGCTCAAAGCTGTGGACCTGGGATTTGAGGATGGTGGCGCCAGCATGGCGGTTGAGGCCAAGGGGCTGTCTGCCAGCGATTGCGGCTGGCGCCTCCTGCAAGTGTTCCGCTCTAAGCGCTTCCGCTCAGCCAAGTTGGAGCGTCTCTACCAGCGCTACTTCTTCCAGATGAACCAGAGTTCACTGACGGTGCTGATGGGTGTCTTGGTGCTAGCGTGTTGCATCATGCTGCTCTTCCACTGTGTGCCTGGCACTCCCAATGTGTCCTACACCGCTGCCCTTGCCGTGGCTGCTACCCTTTTCCTCTCCCTGATGGTCCTCTGCAATCGGACTGGCTTCCACCAGAACTGCATGTGGGTGGTGAGCTATCTGGTCATCCTGGCACTCTGTGGAGTGCAGGCTTTGGGCACTCTCCGGGTCTCACCACGAAGTGCCTCCGAGGGGGTCTGGTGGAGCATCTTCTTCATCTACATCATCTACACGCTTCTGCCCGTGCGCATGCGGGTGGCAGTGCTGTCTGGAGCCTTGCTGGCTGTCCTTCATCTGGTGATTTCTTGGTACCAGAACAATACCGACTCCTTCGTTTGGAAGCAGGTATGGGGGAAAGTTGGGCTGAGGGAAAAGATGGCGGAGCTCCTTGGTGATAAAGATAAACGTGTAACTGGTGGATGGGACAGAATAGGAACCCTGTACTAATCGAAGATGCTTTGTTGAAGGATAGCTAATGCCTTTGGTGTTGAAGAAAGGCTATAAAAATGGTCTGTGTAGAGGTGGTAAAGACTTATTAAGGGGAGCAGGCAAGTGAAACTGAAGTCCTCCCATCAAGCAAAATGAATGAATAAAGAATGAATGAGAGCCCTTGAATAATATGAGGGGAGGCAAGTTCTGTGACCTTTTCCCCATCCCCACAATCACTCCAATTGTGGATGGAGCTAAGTGGAATTTGCATATCCTCAATTCCATTGAACAAAGCTTGATCTCTGGATCTTGGTGATGAATACATTTGAACTTGCTTTTATTTACTGCTGTATATTGTCTAGGTTCCTGATTCTCCTTTCCTCACAGAAGTTTGATGATAACAAAAGTTTGCCTAGAAATCCATATAGCTGGAATTGGCCCTACCAAGGTAGCGGTAGCATTCACAACGTCTCTACCTATTGTTCTGAAAATAGTGTTTTTTAAGCTAATGGCTGGACGATTGAAGAGCCCATTTGTGTAAACCTGTCATTTTGCTTCGTCTCCTTTACTATTACAATGAATTCTACATATGTACCAATTTCTCCAGTTCCCATCCATCCATTTTTTTTCTTTAACTTCCCGATTATTTTCACAGTGCACCCTCCTGATCTTATCTATATTCTGGATGAATTAAGAAATGCTTTAATAATGTGGATGAGAACAGTTTGTATGAGGAAAAAAGCCCATGTCATTCAATGCTGCTGCAGGCTAAACAGAAAATGCTTCCTCACCTGTTCTTTATATTGATGGGTGGTCTGGAAACCCCACCCTAAGTACTTGAGGCATCATTGTGTTATCATAACTGGAGGGTCAATGAGGTGTAACCTGATTGAGGATAAGCCCATTGGCTCTGGAAAGCATCAGATTATGAAAATATGTTTTTGGATTGGTTCTGTACTACAGGAAGCCTCGACTTATCACTATAATTGAGCCTAACATTTCTGTTGTTAAGCAAGACAGTTGTTCAGTGAGTTTTGCTCTATTTTACGACTTTTCTTGACATACTTGTTAATCCCTGCAGTAGTTAGTAATATGGTTGTTAAGTGAATCTGGCTTCCCCATTGACTTTGCTTGTCAGAAGCTCACAAAAGGTGAGCTTCTGACAAGTGTCCCATGACCCTGGGACACTGAGCCCATCATAAATATGATCCAGTTACCAAGCATCTGAATTTTGATCACGTGACCATGGGATGGTGCAACGGTTGTAAGTGTGAAAAATGGCCACAACTCATTTTTTTTCAGTGCTGTTCTAACTTCAAATAATCACTAAATGATTGATTGTAAGTCGATGTAGTGAGTAGTACTTGCACTCAGTTGAATTAAAGGCAGAATATATCTTTCAATATGCACATCTGGGCAGAAAATGCAAAAGTTTAGCAAGAGCTATGTTAACACGTAGTTGATCACCCACCCATTTGTGCTTTTGTTGTTCCTCCTAAAAAGCAGCAACAGACTCTTCCCCCTTTCTTTAGATGATTTATCCTTTTGAAATCTGTCAAATTCAGGCTCTTGAAAGTTGCACAGGTACACTGCAATTAAGATGTTCTAAAGCTACTGAACATTCCCCTTCAACACGAATCATTAAAATTGTGGTGGCAAAGGCTTAGGATAGGAACAATGCAATACTCAAACACATAATGTATGCGTAAAGAGGGAGAAGATGGCAGAAAGGGAATGAGCCACAAGTGCATGTGTGGGAGGCTGCATAGAGCAATGATCTGATGCTCTTGTGATGACATACCTGTGTTGCTGTACTAAGATGAGTTCTCAAAGACTTTAAAAAAACACTTCGGATTTACAGCTTGTTCTCTCCGTTCCCTCCAAACCAGGAGCTCTGCAGCTTTTTCACTAGTTGCAGACGTAGGGTGATTTTTTAAAATTTATTCTGAGGATAGATAGTAAAATGCTTATTAATCAAATATTGTAACAGGGAAGGAGGGGGATTCAATCCTGCAAAATTTTCATCTTCTTACCCAAATCCCCCTTTATTCCTGTGCCTTATTGTAAATGAACTAGATGTAAGGTTTCAGTATTATTCTGACCTTAGGGCAGGAATGCTTTCTTACTGGAAGCAAAGGCCAATCCAGCCAGCTCCCAATGACCCTCCCTTAGGGACAGCTGGTAAATATAGTCAATGTTTCTGAAGAGGCTAGGTATCTGGGAAGGGTCAATCTGTGAGACCATCAAAGCATTCCCACAACTTCCAGACCTTAAATATAAGAAAGTGTTTACTGAACTATGCTATGGAAGGGAGAAAGAACCTAATTCTTTTAAAGGCAAACCAATAGGACTGATCCTTTCCCTGTGGGGTTACTCACATGATTACTCCAGTGTTGCACATTGTTAGCTGGTTAGATTCCATAAAGTGTTTTGGGTTATGATTATGAGCTAAGTGACAAATGAGTAGGGGTAAAAAAAACAACAACAGAACAACGTGGCATAAATTGGAATTATGTATGGAATAGTGTATGGCAGACGAGTAGAGAAGAGGGAAGCTGACGCCTCTTTTCTTCAATTCCTCAGTAGGAGGAGGGAAAGCTCAATTTCTCACTCTTTAGACGTTAGGAACTAAAACATCAAAAGCTCACATCCTTTTTTTGTCCAGCAGAAATAAACTTGAGAAATATGTTAATTAGAACCCAGGGGATCTTGTCTAATGCTATTAACTGTCCACAGTACAGCTTCTGAAGACACGTATTAATCATTCAGAGATATGGCTGACTATTGCCATGATAAAGGAAGTCTGAACTGAAGATGGAGTAATGTAGCCAGTGTCACAGCTATGGAAGTAATGAAGTTATCAGCTCACTGAAAATTGGAAGTATGGCGGCATGTCTGTTTATAGGGCCTGGTGCTACATTGCTGCCTTCTCTGTATTTCTTGTTTCCTTCCAAAGGAAATTTAAGGATGTAGCTAATTAGCTAGGATGTAGCTACTTAATTATATTGTTAATAATAATCATTATTTTTGTTCACAGAATAGTTACTTGTAGCTTGGATTTTGCACAATACACTTAACAAGATTTCTTAAAAATATAGCATTTGTACTACAACTTTTAATCTCAGTTGTGGATTTGAGGGTGGTTTTGCTGTTGTTTTTTTTGGGGGGGGAAGGCTTAGCGATTCCATCTTACATTGTGTTGCCTGTTTGTTTAGTTTATTGTTTAGTGTACTGGTAAACCACAAACAGGCTTAGTTTGGCAGCCCAATTAAATTTGGGTTCCATGCTTCCAGCCCACCATGTCTTGAGTTTGCTGCACAAGATACATCCAAACAGAATTTCTTCTTTGATGCTTTGAATTATTTCAGTTAGCTCTAGTCTAAAATAGGTAAACTAAGTATATCCAGATATTTCTGAACCAGAAATCCCAATAGCTGGACTCTGCATGGCCAGCGGTGAGATGCTGGTTTGTCAACACCTTCTGGGCCCAGATTGCTTTCCTCTGTTCTAATTCTTAATAGTAATCTAAATATCATTTAACAGTCTGGAGATTAACGGATTTTGGAATCTGAACTAATTTATTCAAAATTCAGTTTCCACTTATCAGAAATTCACAATGAAAAGAAGCATTTACCTGCCCAATTATTTGTAAGAGATGTTCATTTTAGCTTCATTAAGAACTGCAGACAAGATTAGTTTGCCTCAGTAAAAACTAGAGGCACTGTAGGATTTAATCTGTCTTTTATATCAGGGTTCCTCAAAGTGGTCAGTATCGATCCTCAAACAATTGTTATTGCTTTGATTATTCATAGTACTATTAACATGGTATTTGTTAAATTATTTCCATATAATGTTTTGGGGGGAGAGGGGTTGATGAGCAGTTTGAAACTACTTCATGAAGAGGTTGAGAAGTTGAAGAGTTTAGGGACCTCTAGTTTAGAGATATATATTTAGGCTCCCTGGTACTAAAAGCAGTTCTGGTCCCTTGCAAAGTAAGATTGCTGGGGTTGTTCACTTTCTAGATCACGGGTGTTAAACTCGCTGCGTCACATGACATGTCACGACATATCGGGCCTTTGCATTGCCAGAGCTGGGGTGGGCGTGGCCTCTGTATGATGCAACAGGCCCACAGGCCAGCAGTTTGACATCCCTGTATCTAGATCAGGGGTAGGCAACCTCGGCTCTTTTATGACTCGTGGACTTCAACTCCCAGAATTCCTGAGTCAGCTCTGCTGACTCAAGAATTCTGGGAGTTGAAGTCCACGAGTCATAAAAGAGCCGAGGTTGCCTACCCCTGATCTAGATGATGTTAGATTCCAGTTCCCACCAGCTTTAGTCAGCATGATATAGGAAAGGATGGGTAGCAAGTATAATCCATATTTAGGGAAGCATACATTTCACAGCCTTGATTTATGGTGTAAAATGTCATCTCTCTCATGGGTGCCCAAGTACTGTAGCAGATACAGTACTGTAAATTCTAGTTTTGTGTCAAGCAACAGCAAATAAAGCTTTTTTTAATTGTATATATTTTTTTTATGTAGAATCTTTCCTGGCTTGGGGAAGATTACAGGTTTTCTTCCTTAAACCTTGTGAATTAATGTCGGGCTCAGAATTTGTCCATACTATTGGGTGACATTTTACGAATATTGAGTATCCATCACTGTTACAGGCTATTACGTGGAAGGAGTGGGAGTAAGCTACACCAAGAGGTATCAAGTGATGAGAACCAGTAAGTAGTTCATAGATAAATAAATAGGTCTGTGATGTTTGGTTACCTTAACTGGCTGAAAAATGTTTATTCAGCTCGAAATGTGATCCAGCAGCAGAGTTTATATGCATGGACGCACATGCCTATATATCATGCAAGTTTGTTCAGAAGCAGCAGATGGCAAGCATTATCTGAAAAGAAAGTGGAAGTTTCAAAGTTCAGTAGTATAGCAATCTATGTTTCCATGCACGCCATCCAAGGTTCAATCTTTGGCTTCTCCGTTTTGTTTAAAAAGAGAAGCAAGTGATAGGTGATGAGAAAGCTTCCTGAGATTTTGGAGAACTGTTCTCCAGTTAGTAGACAATGACGAGTTTCATCAGTGTTAGGCAAGCTGATTGTTATTTTGGAGTGCAACTCCCATAATCCTTTGTCATTGACCATGTTGATAGAACTGGCTGAATTGAAATTAAGAATACCTGAAAACTCCCTCATCGCCTACCATTAAGCTCATATGGACAAATAGTCTGAAGAGGTACAGATGAGGGCATAGTTGTATGCAAGGCATGTCCCATTTTTCTTGCAGGATAAACATACATGATCGGCAAAGGGAAAAAAATGCTTCTGAAATATATTGAACCTCATGCAGATTTAAGTGACTAATCAGTTAAAATGCTTATCATAATTATGTCCTTTAGATTGCATCTCTAATAATGCAGGTCTGCCGTCCTCTCCTTCTGATCGCTAACACATTACTTCTAGGCAAACCACTGTCTATGCAAGTCTGTCTCAGGCTTTCAAGGGCCGCAAAGTGAAGCTTTTCTTAGCCTGCTATTGGACCGGAGGTTCTTATGCCCCCAGTTCATATCTTCTGAGATGGGTTGACTCAACCGTTAGAGTTAATAGCCTAGAAAACATAGTACTTGCCTACTTGGATGGCTGGAGGAGGGGCAAAAATCGTTCAGATTTGCCAGTGGGCATAGGGAAAGGTCGGGGTGCTTCATTTCCCAGCATGAAATTCCTGATCATCTTTGGCTGTCAGACTACAACTCAGTTTCAAGACTTTAATTAATGAGCCGTGGTGGTGCAGTGGTTAGAATGCAGTAGTGCAGGCTAATTCTGCTGGTGGTTCGATCTTCACCGGCTCAAGGTTGGCTCAGCCTTCCATCCTTCCGAGGTCAGTAAAATGAGGACCCAGATTGTTGGGGAGTAATATAAACTGTAAACCGCTTAGGGAGGGCTGTAAAGCAATGTGAAGCGGTACATAAGTCTGCTATTGCTAGTGCTATTGCCAACTGGAGTTCAAGATACGAGTTTTGTAAAAACCAAAGGACTCGGCTGTAGACCAGAGATTTAACTCAGGACATTCTTGCTACAACTGAATCACATCTCTTGGGATGGTTTATTCCTTGATGCTCAGTCCTAAAGTGTGTGAAATAACCTTCCAATGATTAGGTTCATACATTGTTCAAAGCCATGATTGCTTAGCCCAGTGATGGTGAACCTTTTAGAGACCGAGTGCCCAAGCTGCAACCCAAAACCCACTTATGTATCGCCGGGTGCCGGGTGGGTGTGGCCCACTTGGTGGGCGCAGCTACAGTGGGCGTGGCAGACTGGGTGGGTGTGGCCACTGGATGGGTGTGTCTGCAGTAATGGCATGGGCATGGCCGGGGGGGCGTGGCCACCTCAATGTTGCTTATGGGGAGGGACACCTGTGGGAGCTGGGCAGGGCAGGGTTGGGGGGAGATCCAGGGGGTCTCTGGCGGTGAGATGGTGGGCTCCCCAATGGCGGCTCCAGGCTGGCTGGCCTTAGGCCAGTGATGGCGAACTTTTAGAGACCACGTGTGCTGGGGTGATGGCGTGTGCCCACAGAGAGGGCTCTGCGTGCCGCCTCTGGCACGTGTGCCATAGGTTCGCCACCACTGGCTTAGCCAAAACTGATTAGATTTATATATTATGCTAATTGTTTGCAAACTGCACAGACTGAGTTCATTCGATATGCTAAGCCAAAACCAGACAAATCATATCATTATAGAACCATAGAATGGAAAAGTTGAATGTTACCATCTAGTCCAACCCAATGCCCAGGGCAGGGATCTGTTACTACAGCATCTTCAACCCATGGTGGGTAAAAAAGATTATGCCCTATTTTGTTGTGTAAACTTAGTTAATGACCTCAAACAGTAATGGTGTATGTAGGTCTTCTTACATTGTTCTGTCATCCTTTGGTGAAGCAAATCCATATGCTGGATTGTAGCTACTGAAATTACAATTAGCTAAATCTTGTGTTTTTGAACACTGTATGTGTGATTTGAGCAAGCACTTAGCTGGTAACTCTGGACCAATTATTATGCTCTGTAGCTGTTAATTACTGCGGAGAGATGTTTTCCTTTTGGAATATAAATGGAGCTGTTCTGTTAGAGAATTGATTTTTTTTTAGGCCCGCGGAGCCTGTTTTCTTTCATTTAACCAAGTGCAAGTACCCTTTTAACTAAATGTCTTAACTTGCTTTGGAAATATTTTAAGGAACTTTGTGAATGTTTTGTCCTGGAAGCAGTGTGACTTCTGGATGACAGCCCCTCTGCCTGCATGGTGGCTATGTGTGAAAGGATTGTAAACAGGCACGGAATAGGCTGTTGTGCTGTCGCTCCTGATATTTTTACTCTATCTTGGTGGCTGCAGAACATCAAGGCAGGGAACAGTGGCGCCATACTGGTGTCCAGTAGGAATTAATGCCAGAGAAAACTCTTAAAACTTGCAAAAACTTAAAAATTTCACTTTCAAGGCAGCATTGTGTGCCAATAATCTTGGCCTACATTCAGCCCCATCAGTTTCCCTCCCAGGCATGCATCCTTAGCAGCTCCAGCTGCATGCTGCTGGTTATTATATGGGGAAACCTTAAGCTGACCTCTGTTGAAAAAATGGACTTTTGGTTTCTTTGGCTACTCTGCCTGCCTAATAACTTAACTGCTTGTCAAGTATTCAAAGCTTGCTGTTGTTTTTGTTTTCCAGAGCTCAACAATAAACTGGCAGGGCAGGGCACAATTATTATAATATTTCAATAAGGCGAGGCAGACATGCCACAGGATAGTAATGCACAGGATTGTAATGGTATGACTTGTTCCTGGTTGATCTGAGTGGACCCCTGCTGTTACTTGGTTGGTTTTGTGCCTCAGTTATCCTCCTTATCAATAGCTGCCTTACCTGGTCACAAAACACGTTAGTAATCTGCCTTTCTTCCATCATGGAGCTTGCATGCAGCATTCATGAATAGTCTCCCATTTGGTCACTGCCAAGCTTAGTCTGGGGGGGGGGGTGTCTGTGCCCTGGCCTGAGAGGATATGTTGCTTTGGGACAATAAACGTATTGTCTAAATTGGTTTATTCCCTTCAAGTCTCTTTTTCTAGTCATGTAGCATGTTATGTGGGCATGGACAATTTTTCCTAGTGGTATTTAGAATATGATAGAATGTTGAATTAATTGAATTATCATTTAAGGGAAACTTCACTTGATGAGCAAGTGACCCCTTGGATGTTAACACAGATGCACTGTTCCTACATCACTCTGGCCTGGCAGATGAGCCTGGAAAGGCAGGGGGCTGATGCCTTTGGAATACGTGCGAACATGTAAACACATAGGTAGCTATTCTAAACAATTTGTGCATCTAGCCCAGCATTGTTTACTCTCATTAGCAGCAGTCTTCTTGAGTTTTGAAGAGGAAATAGGCTTCCACATTATTAGCAGGGCCTGAAAGTGGGGGTTCTGCGAATGAAGTGCATGCCATATATATATGAGTGCTTTTTATATATATATTTATTTATATTTATTTATTTGTGGGTCTTTCCCCATAGAAACATACTCGTCTCTCTAGGAAGGCCACTGCACATGGAAGGTTGTTTGAAAAACAAACATAATTACAGTTTTGGTCTTCCAGCTTCACCTCTTAGCGTGGACTACAAAGGGGTTTTTTTTGTTCTCAGTTTCACTTCCCATTCTCTCTCCCTAAAGGCATTGGGATCTTCCTGCTTTTAGGGAGAGAGAATGGGAAGTGAAACTGAGAAGAAGAAAAAAGCATTGGGATCTTCCGGAACCTCCTGTTTGGGTTGCAGTGGGTGCAGGCACACGAAGAGGCTCTCTCTCTCTTCGTTACCTGCTTTTCCTCTGCCGGTAGACCCTCAATCGGGTCGAAAAGTCACCCTGGAGGGGTGACTACCAATGAGGAGGACTCTCGTTGATTGCGGGGGGGGGGGAGGAGGCTGACACCCACCCTTCCCAGCAGAATCTTTGGTATCTTGGGCATCAACCGAGGGGAAGGGAGAGTACAAACCCCCCTTTGTGTTCTAAGAGGCCCTCCTTGCATAAAGCTTTTAATTCATTCTTTATGCTGGGGTGTGAGGGAGGATGGCTCTCTCCAAAGACAGTGGGAAAAGTGAAAGCCAAGCTAGAAACTGTTTATGTCAAAAAATACTTGTGCCCAGTTTGTATGGGTCTTTCCCTTGCTTGCAGCTTGTTGCAAATGCTTTGATCTTCCTCTGTACCAACATCATTGGTATCTGCACCCACTATCCAGCTGAAGTGTCACAGCGCCAGGCCTTCCGGGAAACACGTGGCTACATCCAGGCTCGACTGCACTTACAACGTGAAAACCGTCAGCAGGTGGGGACCTAATCAGAATTGGGGGGGGCAGGATGGAACTGCTGCAGGGAGTGGGGAGTTAGAGTTGGGAAAACAGAGAGCATGCACTATGTCTTGGGTTCCTGCACGTGTTTGGTTAATATTGAGATGATTTTGTTGCTTGGAGATGTGGGATGCCCCAGCTCTGAGACATTTTAACAGAGCCTAAATATCTTTTACAGCAGGGGTCCCCAAGCCCTGGGCCGCGGCCTTTTTTGAAACCAGGCCGCATGAGTGATGGGCAAGCGTGCGTGTGCAGGTCGCTCCACTTGGGCAAGTAGTGGGCCCTTGTGCTAGATTGCGAAGCTCCATTGGAGCTTTACACACAGGTGCCCTCTGCTCGTGCGAGTGGAACTTCGCGCACAAGCACAAGCGCCCTCTGCTCAAACGTCCTCCGTTCGTGCGAGTGGAGCTTCGCGCACAAGCACAAGCACTCTCCACTCACGCTTGAAGCTCCATTCTCGTGAGTGGAGGGCGTGCGCAGCCACCGCTGTCACCAATTATGCTGTGCTCCTGCACCTGCCACTCACATACACACACACACACACACACACACACACGCGTGCCGGGCTGCGCTACCAAGGTGGAAACTTTGGGGGCCACTGCTTTATAGAATTCAGTAGAAATTACAATTAGAGTCTTTCTCACATTTATACTGCATCCATTCTAGGAATTCAAAGTCATGAAAAGTTACTGCAGGTTTGTTTTTGTTTTTTTGTAAAATATAATAATCCCTCTCCTCAAAGGGAGCCTCCATCCCTTCCATTATTTTTGCTATTTTTCTTCAACTTAATTGAGGAAGAGTCCTACAAAGCTTTTGATCGTAGATTCATAGAACTTTTGCTTGCTCCTTATAAAGTCATTAATGTGTCATTCAGTATTGCACTGCTTTTTTACCAAGAGAATCCTGTTGCTAGAAACAAGTGCAGTTAGATCAGTTCACTTTAATGTTTTTCCTGACCCTTACAGGTTGCAAACTCTTTATTATATCCTCAAAGTCTTTCTCCTGCAACTTCACATTAGTAGATGGAAAATTAGGTGACATTTACATCATGTAGTATAGTTTCAACTCCTTGCACTTGGTCTGCTTTGTATTTAAAGTCAGACATGTGCATGTGTGCTGAAAATTTTCCTATATTATAGGCTTGTAAATTGATTGCATTGGCTTCCTGAGACCAATGACACTAATTATTTTGAAGTTTATTTTATCTTTCACCTATGCACAAAATTTCAGGATCTTTAATTCTTGAAAGAATGCATTAAAAAACCCAATTTGTTCTTTCTCTCTATCTATGATCCACAGATCCAATTTAGCTGTGCAAATTTAGAATGTGCAAGCACATTCTCTTCTAGAGAAGTTCTGTGGAAGTGAATGCCTCATTGCTCTTATTTAGCTCTAACACTGGTCTCTTCCAGTGAGCCTCATAACTTTATCAGCTAGGCAGAAGGATATAATATTTTGTACACATACTCAAGCATTGTCTTTCACACAGACTCCCTTTTTTCCCATATGGTAATAGATTGCCATCTTGGGCCTTCTTCCTTTCTGCTATGTTTCAGTCTGTCTGCAAGTAAAATGCTTATGAGGTGGGAACAGGTAGCATGGCAACTCAACTCTATAATGCCTTGCAGGCCAAAAAGCATGCAATAAAACAGCATTGGTAGTGGGGTGGGTCAATAGGCTCAGATCTTGGTTTTTGGTTTATTCCAGCAAAATTACTGCTGTAATGAAAACCATAATGGACCTTTCTTTCTGGACCCCTGACAGGAACGACTTCTCCTCTCTGTCCTGCCCCAACATGTTGCCATGGAAATGAAGGAGGACATCAACACCAAGAAGGAAGACATGATGTTCCACAAGATCTATATCCAGAAACATGACAACGTCAGGTAATATATATCCTTTGGATGTATATGTCTGTGACTTTGAGGGTCAGTGAAACCAGTCAATAAATATCATTCTGTTAGAAGTTTGGAGACCATAGCATAATTTCTTGGCAGATGAGGGTCAGTGGGGTTGAAGATGTTGGCTGAATTTCCTCATGAATATATGCAAAAAAGGAGCCAAATGGCTTTTGACTGTTTGTGGGTCTCCATTCTAATTCCTATTTCTGCTTTTCTCTCCCCACAGCATTCTCTTTGCCGACATTGAGGGCTTCACTAGCTTGGCATCCCAGTGCACGGCACAAGAACTGGTCATGACACTGAATGAACTTTTTGCCCGTTTTGATAAGCTGGCTGCGGTAAGGGAGGAACAGGCCAGGCTAACAGAAAAGATGATTTCCTGAACTTAGTGCTTTTAGATATGTTGGCAATAATCCTTATAAAACTCAGTGAGCAAGTGCTATGTTCAGTGAGCAAGGGAATTATAATTTAAAATGCCTGTGTGGCACCTTGCTGCCTGTCCTCTGAGAAAAGGGCATTGTGTTGATGGCTGTGCCCCAAAAGTCAATGTGAATTGTATATTTTCTTCTGTCACATTATCCCCTTGGGTTATCTTGCCTTGCCAAATACAGATAGTCCTCAATTTATGTCCACAGCTGATCCAAAATCTCCAGTGCTAAGCAAGGCAGTTAAGTGAGTTGTGCCCCCACTTTACAACCTTTTTTTGACGCAGTTGTTAAGCGAATCACAGCAGTTGTTAAGTGAATCATATGGTCGTTAAGCAAATCCGGCTTGACTCATTGACTTTAGCTTGTTGGAAGCTGCCTGCTGGGAAGGTTGCAAAATGTAAATTATATGACCCCCTGGACAGTTCAACTGTCATAAGTACATGCCAGTTTCCGAGCGCCCAGATTTTGATCTCCTGATCATGGGGATTCTGCAATGGTCATAAAGGTGAAAAACGGTCATAAGTTGCTTTTTTCAGTGCCTTTGTAATTTTGAACAGCCACTAAACAAATGGTTGCAAATCGAGGAGGACCTGTAACTTCTAATTATTCCTAGGGTTGTTGGTCTGTATGTCTTTTTTGTGCTATATTCTGCTGCCTTTGTTGTAGTGTGTATCTGTTCCAAAATTCCTTTGAACCTACCTTGAAATTAATACTGGTACCAGTTCTGGGCCATAAGGTTGATTTATAAACTTCACTAGAGTTTCAAGTTTCTTCAAAGTAACTGAAATTCCTCTCTCCTCCCTTCCCCTCCCCTGCTCTTAACCTCCCCCCCCCAATTATTGGAAACAAGTACTGGATAAAAACTTCTGTATCTTCAATAAGCTACAAATTCTCGGATTACTGTTGAAATAACAGTTGCTAGCTAGCTAATGGAAAGATTGAGGGCAATAGAAGAAAGGGACGACAGAGAATGAGGTGGCTGGATGGAGTCACTGAAGCAGTAGGCGTGAGCTTAAATGGACTCCAGAAGATGGTAGAGGACAGGAAGGCCTGGAGGAACGTTGTCCATAGGGTCACGATGGGTGGGATACGACTTCGCAACTAACAACAAAGCTAGCTAATGTGATTGATCTGTGTGGCAGGGAGCATTGAACTCAGGTGAGATGACTGGAAGGCTACAGTTACCATTGATGGCTTTTCTGAATCTCCCTCCTTTTTTCTTTTTTTTCTTTTTTTTAGGAAAATCATTGCCTTCGCATCAAGATCCTTGGGGATTGCTACTATTGTGTCTCAGGATTGCCAGAGCCACGGGCTGATCATGCCCATTGCTGTGTGGAGATGGGTGTTGACATGATCGAGGCAATTTCGTGAGTGCGCGAGGGATGCTTGCCAGACTTGAGAAGGGTGCACATAGTCATTGGTGAACTTAAATGATTTACAGAGTTACTGTTTTCCAGAATGGTAGCTACATTAGGCAACGGAGAGCTCTGTGGTATCTTAGAGACTTTAGCTTTTGTAAGATAAAGGTATGAACATAGGCTCTGGTATCTCAAATTAAAAGACCTAGTCTACTCCATGGCCATTCATGGCTAGCCAGATGCTCCTGGGAAAGGCAGCGGTATGCTCTTGCACACATCCACCATCCTGTTCCCACGCAATGGGTATTCAGAAGAATACATGGAGTTACTAAAGTAGCTGTTGACAGCTTCGTTCCCCACTTCATCAGATGC